TCTGGAAATGAACACCCAGGCAAAACCCGGGTCAGAGTTCCGTAATGCGGAAATGTGCACATAGAATCGGGCCAATTAGACCCAGGGGGAAAGGGGGGCAAAGCATTAGTTCGGAATCGGCCTAAGAGACAATTCTCCAGGGCTCCTTGTACCTGGGGTGCTGGTGCAAGGAACCCTGGGACATGTAGTTTCCAGGGCACCGGACAGCCATCATATGGACTCAGGCACCACAGATCAATACACTTCCCAGTCTCCCTGGCATGTGGGATGCTCCCATTGCAGCACTCTAGAAGTGCTGGGAATCAGTCAATCCTAAAAGAAATCAACCCTGACTGTTCCCTGGAAGGCCAGATAATGAAACTGAAGCTCAAATACTTTGGCCACCAAATGAGAAGGGAGCACTCACTGGAGAAGACCCTGATGCTGGGAAAGATTGAAGGTCAAAGAAGACGGGGACGGCAAAGGATGAGATGGTTAGACAGTGTCATCGATGCAACGAACATGAAATTGAGCCAACTTCAGAGGACGGCGGAAGACAGGAGGGCCTGGCGGGATCTAGTCCATGGGGTCGCGAAGAGTCGGACTCGACTGTGCAACTGAACAACACTCTGAAGTGATGGAGGGAGGGTGGGAATAAAAGAAGTTCTCACAGAGGCCTCCATCAAACTTCACAGTTGCCAGGGTGTAGGCTGGAGAAGAAGGGGGTGGCTGTAGTATTGGGGTGATGGTGCCTGCGAGCCTTGCACAAACAGCCTACAAGCATTTTTTATTTAGGGCACACTTATTAAAGTTTTCCATTACAAGCCTTCTTTTTCAAATTGCAACACCATCACTGCAAAAGAAACTGGTCTCAGGATATAATAGAAAATTGAATATCATACAATGCCTGGAGAAATTAGTTTTTTGCACTAGGGTATCCCCTAACCCATACGACTATCAAGCAGTTGCTTGCAAAGATTGATACTGACAGTACCATCTGCCAGGCTAGATGTGTTTGCTCTGCTCTCCATATGGGAATCCCACCGCTCTTTACTTTCCCAACATTCTGGTTTAACCTTACAAGATACAGGCAAGCAATTATGCTTGCAAGACTAAAGGCACTACTATCCGAGTTCTCTGAAGGCCACATATTAGGTATATTGTTTTCAGATAGATATTGCAGTTGTGGTCTAGGGATCTTATGTTCTATTTAAATGTCAGTGGTATAAAGAGGCTAGAGAGGAATGGAGCAAACCACTTATGTGCCAGTGAATGAGCTTCCTCTAGATATTTCAGTAGCTTAATTTTTAATGGATTCTAGGCCAGCAAATATTATTTTGTCAGCTAAATTCCTTGTTCAGGCCATGAAACTATGAGCAGCCTGTGATAAGTCATCTCCTCTAATATGGTATAGCCTGCCTTCTCTGGCTTGAACTCTTTCTTTTTTCCTCTTATTCCTGAGATTGATTGATACTACCCAAGACTTGTAGGTGAAGGAAGGAAGGAAGGAAGGAAGGAAGGAAGGAAGGAAGGAAGGAAGGAAGGAGGGAGGGAGGGAGGGAGGGAGGGGGGGTCACTACGTGCTAGGACTCAGATCAGTCTTCAGATCTCTTTGCAGTGTCAGGGATCAGCTATAGCACCCATGAAGCAAGCATGAAGAGAATGCCTCGGAACACAAGAGTTGCACAAATGCAGCAGCCATTGCCCCGCCTCATACCTGCAATTAAGATGAACTGCTTCTCTGCCCCCAGGCCAGGGCATGTCTCCCAAGACCTCTGAGCCCCGGAATTTGACATCTTAGAAAAGAACTGTGGAAAGAAATCATGTGACTGCTTCACAGAATTCCACACACAGCCTATGTACCACTTCCCGACATTTTGGTGCACTTACCTGGTATATGACTAGAATAAAAGGTACTGCTACTAGATGCCGCAACTGCAGTTTCATGTCTTTAAACACTGGCCCACCAATCATCTCCCAGGAGTCCTGTTTCTGTGGCAATCCACCGCCAGGCTTATTTGGCATTGGGATCCAGTCAGGGGGACAGGTCACAGGGAGGGTAACCGTTGAGAAAAGGTTTCCCCATCCTTCACCCTTTTGCTTTTTTAAAGTGGATGGGACTGCCTCTAGTCTGGGCTGGGGACAAAAAAACTGGCAGTGAATCTTTGGTTTGATAACTTTAATTATTCTGAAGGGAGGGGTGTCAAGCAGAAGACACTGAAGAACTGTGCATTGACATTTACAGCTGTGCATTTACTAGAGAGCTAAATCTGATACCTGAGCAAAAGGAACATCATCACTGTTAGCAACACACATGCCTGTGTATTTTGCGAGGGTATGAAAACAGAGCCTCTGTCTAGTTTACATTCCATTCAGAGGGAGGGCAACGATGGGCATCAACCCAAGGCAAGATGTGCAACAGAAAAGCACAAACTACAAAAAAAGCATATTACAACTGAGCAGCAGCATTTCCATAGGATCCAATCCCGTACCATTTTCTGACTGAGCAGTAAAGCAGGGATGCTTTCAAGCCTGACGAGTCAATGAAACTAGCAATTCCACCTGCAGCTCATTTAAGATGAAGCTGAGTCAATATTGTGCCACTGGAAATAAAACCGGCTGAATTCCAAACACTCAAGTATGGATCAGGCTGTAAGACACACCTGAAAGTTCAAAAAATAAAAAACCCATTTCCCCACTGCAAGGAGCCTTGCTTTGTGGCTCAACGTATAACCACTTGTTGAATTTCCATTCAGTTTTGCTCTTGGCTTTTCCCTCACTAATCTGGGAGCCTTCTCCACATGGAACTGTAGATCAAGCTCTTGATTCTTCTGAAAGAGGTGAGGCATTGGCCCCACCACACCCCAGGAACTGCCCACTACAATTAAGATGCCATTCTAGGGGAAAGGGGGTGAGAAACACAGTAAGACTGAGAAATAGCTAGGCTCTTGGATTGTGAAGGAAGCAGGTTTGGCTTCTGCTAAAAGGAATCAGCAGGAGAATAAGCAAGATACTCAGGGGGAATGGCGCACAATCATGTAAAGGTGTGTGTGTGGGGGACTATTCTTGGTCATGAAGGAGGAAGTGAGTTGGTGGTCAGAAAGAGGCTTCTGTCCAGTCTCAGAGTGGGAAGCAGTGTTCCCTCTAAGCTGAGTTAGTGTGAGCTAGCTCACAGATTTTTAGCGTCTGGCTCACACATTCTTGTCTTCGCTCAGGAAGGATGGCTCCAGAGCAAACTAGTTTCCGCAGTAGCCAAATCGCTCGCTCACAACTTTAATGCCAGTAGCTCACCAAGTAGGATTTTTGCTCACAAGACTCCACAGCTTAGAGGGAACATTGGTGGGAAGTATGAGCTTTTGTGCAGAATTCTCCCAGTTTTCTCCTTCCAGAAAGGAAGCCTTAAATGAAACTGGGAGATGTGATGCAAACAAAACCATCGCCTGTTCTGCTATGAGGAGCAGGTGCACAAAACAGGCCGGCCTGGAAACCACCTTAATTAGACAGCCTTCAAGTGTGGCACAAATAGCAGTCCAAGCTCTAACTCTGAAGTTTGCCCTCCAGTATTTTACCATGAATAGCTTGTGAGTCTGACCTTAACTGTAGCTTCTGGAGGAAGTCTGCCTTTGTTTAAATTGGGGGGGGGGAGAGAAATAAAGTGTCCAGCCTTTGGGGATGCCCTCTTCTTGGAGTGAGGGGTGAGGAAAGATATGGTGCTTGAGTTTCAACAGCAATTCCTATCATTGCCACCAGAGGGCACTTTGATACCTGACTGTACTATGCCCCAGCATCCAGTATTCATTAGAAGAATGCCTGCGTCCCTCCCTTCGCTCCACCTGTTTTGTTTGTTTTTTTAAATGGTAAACCCTTGCTTCTCTGATTCATTAAGTTCTGTACCAAAGGATGACAGTCTTCTAATGCTGACTGTAGGTAATCATAAACCAAATCTCTTAATATTTCTTTGAAACATATATATAATGACAATTGGCCACTTCTTTTGGAAATATGGAGAGATAATTTCTCAGCTCTTCCTCCAGCTTGTAAGTTTATGATCTACATACATCAACAACACATCTCCCTCCACTTATGCAGCCCCCCTCTTTGTTCAGCTTTCTTAGACATTAGTAGGCTCTGAGAATGGGGACCCATTGAAATGCTTCTCTTTCACTTCCAGATTTTTCTTGGCTTTAAGTGCGGGTGATACTTCGGGGTGGATAGAATCCAGACGCTGTTCACACTGGAAAGTTGTCAGGAAAACTGTTCTGTAGTTGGTGTTCATCCAGCCATAGAGGATGGGATTGGCAAAAGTTGAGCACATTGCGATGACATGAAAGAGCGTATAGATCAGTTTGTACTCAGCAAGATCCAACACTTTACTGTAAATGTCGCTGACAAGCTGAAAGATGTGAAAAGGCAACCAGCAGAGCGCAAACACCAGCACCACGCAGACTAGCATTTTGGTGGTCTTATGACGCCTCTGATGGTAGTGGTCATTCCCTGACCCGGGACTGACATGATTCTTTAGCTTACTCCAAATACGGATGTAGGCATAGCTGATGATCGCCAGAGGCAAGACGTATTGGATCAGGAGCATCGAGACACTGTAGATGGTGCCATAATTCACTTTCCCTTCCCTCTGCCAGCTTTCTGCACAGACCACCATCTTGACATCCTGGCTGATGTCAATGGAGAAATACTCCCGGAAGATGGCCAAGGGACTCGCCAACAGGGCACTGCCAGCCCAGACCACCCCAATGATGAGGAAGCTGATCCGCTTAGAGATTTTGCTCTCCAAGTGATACACAATGCACCGGTGCCGATCCAGGGCTATCACAGTCAAAGTAACAATAGAGACCTGCACGGCAAGACCTTGAGCGTAAGGCACTAGGTAACACAGGACCGGACCAAGCTTCCACTCTCCCTGCAAGGTATAAATTAAGGTAAAAGGCAGACAGAGTGTGTTCACCAGCAGATCAGCCACGGCCAAGTTGGCAATGAAGAAGTTAGTCACAGTGCGCATACTCTTGAACTTGATCACTACATGAATCACCAGCGTGTTGCCCAACAACCCTAGCAAGATAATAGTGCTGTAGGCACAGATGAGGATGATCTGCACCTCCACCATCTTGGTGCTGTCCTTCAGCCCTCGTTCAGAGTCAGCAGGGAGATCACTGTAGGGGACGGTGAAGCCCAGCAAGTTCATTCTGGCATACAGCTCCATGGCAGAGAGGCTTGTCTGGTTCCCTTCAGTCTTTGCTCGTCCCATTGGCCCCATGTTCTCTGTAGCTCAGTTCAGAACATGTGGTAAAGATTTACCTGCAAGGAATACCAAGAAATACATATGTGTGTATATTAAAGTGACATAAATGTGAAGCATTGGGTAGAAGGGCTAGACAGAAATAGAGGGGGGCAATGAATTAGTCTAGGGCAGTTGTTAAGAAACTGAGACTTGGGTGGGGAAGTCCTGGATTCAAATGTCACCTTAGTCATGAAGGCAGCCAATATCTCTCAGTTCCTCATCTGCAATATGGCCAATAAAAACATTGGCCTTCCAGAGTGATGGCTGCGCAGAGTATTTAGCACTTTGGGAAATTACACAAATAATCTGATAAAGGGAGCTTTGACGCTTGAAAACACCCCAAAAATCTTGCTGGTCCCTTAGGTTTCTCACCAAATTGGTTTCTCACCAAATAATGTTGTTGGTTATGGATAGGACTTTTTAAAAATTCAATATGCTTGGTTAAAAAAAAGGTTCAACTGTCAAGAAAAACAAAATTGTACAGAAAAATATTAACCAAAATGCAAATAGGGCACTAGCATAATCAGCTGCATTCCTTCCAATGTATGTTTATATTTTATTTAAACATTGTACGCTGCTTCACAGTATAAATAAGCTGTAAAGGTATTTACAGTAAAAGTGCAATTTAAAATCAAAATACCCAAAATCATAAGCAATTCAAAACACCAGAAGTTAAAAATATAAAAGCAAGGATTCATAGAGCTATTCAATTCATAATCTATACCAACACAGATCAAAAGTACATCAGCATAATATATGCGCCAAAACCTCAGCTAGCCACATTACCATACTTCTGCTTTTCTGAAACCAAAATAGGATGGAGTCAAACATGCTTCAAAAATCAGTGTCTTGCTGCTGCTGAGAAGGTCCTGTTACACCTGACCACCCATCAGACTTCCCATGGTGATGGAACATGGAACAGGGCCTCTTCCAATCACCAAAGTTTACATATAGCCATTTCTATTTCTCTATTCCTGTTAATCCAGATCTGAATCACAGCTGATTCTCAGGCAAATAAAGAAGTGACTAAATGTTGGTACAAATGCAAGAGAGGAAATGGTTGACTAAAGGCATTCTGGTGTAGCCTAGTCAAGTCCTTCACAATTTCTACCAAGCCAGTCCAGAAGCATATTATTTCTAGCCAATGCATCAATACATGCCCACGGACAAGAGATGCCCAGAATTCTGGGGGAAACACCCATAAGAATTCCGAAGAGTTATGTCATCTGAAGAAATGAAACAGAAGTTGAAGAAAAGACATAATGTTTGCATGAGGGGATGAATCATTTTGCCAGATTTCAGTGTATAGAGACTGTTGGGCAATATACCAATCTTTCAAGTAAATTAAATTAAAATTCACAGAGGAACCATTAGGAATGGCAGGGCACTCAGAATTTTCAGTAGGAAAATTATAAATTCTTCTTCAGGCAGGTTCCCTGGAAAGATTTTAAAAAATCTAAATAAAGTTGTAGATTAACATGCAGTCTAATAATTAGAAAAATCCTTCCTTCCGACAAATTACAAATCTGTTGGAGCAAGTAATGTCATGGACATGTGATATATGTGTTCAGTGAGACAAGCTATTCAAGATACTTATGTATCACTAGGCCACATTAAGAGAGGCTATCAAAGATTGATTACTGTGCACATATCACTGCTCAGATGACTACTGACTGTTGTATGTTTACAATTAAATGTGGATGAAAAATGCTGGTTTTTAAGGTCAATGTATTCCTACAGCTGCAGAATATTTGGAGAATTTCCCCCTTAAATTAAAATTCACAGGAAACTTCTGAAGACTAGAGAAACCAAATCATTTCAGCTCTGGCTGAAACCATGTGGAAATATTTTTGAGCCGCTCAAGCCAATCCAGTTCCACGTCATCACCACAATTCCACAACTGCACAAGGCAATGTTCCCTGGGGAAAATCCATCTGAATCCATCCTTGAATTTCTACAAATAACTTCATTTATTCCATAGGCCTGTTGGGAAATGGACTAATTTATGGTTTTATATCTGCTACACACGCAACAAATGGACTGTGCACACATCTGTATACCATGAGCCAAAGAAAGCTGTTTGCATCACCTACTGTGAGAGACTTCACATAGGGAACGCTTGCCTGCATTTCATGTTAATGTAGCTTGCACACATTCAGCAGGGCATTGTGGGAAGAAGGAGCACATGTTAGCCATTGTGAGCAGAACAACAACCAAGAAGGAGGAATTCCCCCATTACTGAAAAGATGAGATGTCATGCAGGACACGGACCTGATCTGCATCTGTATTGCAAGTTTCCTGTTTATGCCTGGGAAAGCCAAGATTCATCTGTACTTCATAGAAGATACAGGAAGCCGACATTTCACACCTGGCCAGATGGCATTCCATGAGATAGAGTGTAGAGTTTCAAATATCGCCCCACCCATAGAATACCTGCCCCTTTCTACATGCACCAATGGGGAACTGCTATGGGATGGACTTGTAAGTAGGTGGGATTGCAGTTTGGCAAGGTGCCACCCACCTGGAGATTCAACTATAAAACGTGAAGACCATGCGTTAAGGTTTTGCTAGCCACATTCTACCATCAACACAAAGACCATGCTTCAGGCTAGCCACCTCTCCTCTCATCAACTCCTTTATACTTGAATTCCTTTCTTGCTATGCAACAATCCTTTCTGTCTATTATGGATCTCTTTTGACTGCAGCCAAAGACATCCATACATACACACACACTTGACCGGCTGGTTCTGGAACAGTAAACTTCTAGACATTATTTTCTGTCCCTTTATTCTTCATTGCAACAGACAAGACTTCTGAAACAGGCAAGTATTAACCAATTTTCCTGCCTACCTCCAAGTAAATAAGAAACTATTTTATCTCTATTTCTGTAATTCTAAAGGAACCTTGAGTGTATGTGAAAAGTGAGACTGATTATTCTGTATGTGTGACTTTGATATTGCTTAGTAAAGAAATTATTTGTTTTGGAAAAACACCCGTGTGGTCTCCATTACTGGAACTCTGGGTTCAGACATGACCTTGGTATAGCTGGCCAGGACTCACATTAAAATTTAGTTAGTCTCTGCTGTAAATAAAGCAATTGGCGTAACAGGCCTGTCTGTACACACAATTTGCTATAAGTGAATTCCACAAGCCAGATAAAGTCAGAAATCTAGGCTCAGTTACTTTGTGGAATCTGATCCAGTTAATGTTTCATGTATTCACAGAGATCTATCCAATAGCCACACTTAGGTGGGGATTATTTCAGAAATGGCCCTTTGTTTAGACCAAAGCCCGAGAGTTAAGAGGGCAATTCAATTTGGATCGGGTTAACTGAATCCAATAACACGTCATGAATTTTAAGTCCACATAACTGCCTCTCTTGCATTCATCCCTTGTTAGCTTTTCCTGTCCCTTTCATTCTTTCTTCCCTTTGTTGTGTCCCCCATTTTGCAACTGGGATTGCAAGCTTAGCAGAAAGCTTTTGTGCTCTGTACATAGATTACATGGAAAACAAAAGTATTAATTAAAATAGATCCATAATATTCCCCTTGAAGTATTTATCAGCAAATGGAAATGCTGGCTCATGGAAATGCTCATCGGTACTTTACCTTATACAATTTATACAAGAGCTTTCTTTACACTTTCCCAGTTCGTTTGCTCATTCATTCACACAGTCAAAATTCTCCCTGATAAAGCATAACTACTTAGAACATCCATTTGGTATAAATGTTGAGCCATGTTTGTATTGATATCTGTTAAGCACAGCTATAAATGTCAATGAAGGAGTTTATGTTTAGATCAATGGCACAAAACTTAACGAGTTCTTTCAGTCTGTCATGGATTAGACATCATGTTCAATAGGCTATCTATAAAGCACAGATAATAACTGAATTTTTGGTTCCTAATGATGGTCATTATATCAGCTGGCTTGATGAATTTCACTTTCCAGACTTTCAACTGCAGCTAGACATATTCCTCAGATATCCTTCACTTTGAGGGGCATCTCTCTGGTTTTATCTGACAATACTGGCAATTCCTAATTGGTATGTGAAACATTTCCCTTCTCAACTAGATCAAACTTCCTTTCCCTCAACAGACCATTCCTGATTCTAGAAATGTGAGTGACATCCTAGCCATTGTGATGGCACCTGGTTTTGGGCCACTGTGTGACACAGAGCATTGGACTCGGTGGGCCACTGGCCTGATCTAACATGGCTTCTTATGTTCAATTTTAGAACTTTTAGAAGTCAACAAAAGAGGATCACGGCTCTGCTTCAACACCTCCTACTCCTTTAAACTGACCAGTGGAAACAAACAGATGATGATCTGACAAATGGTTACATATATTAACACCCAAGAAACCTGAAACATTATTATAATCTAATGGAACTAATATGTGGAGGGTTTTTTTTTCCTTTAAAGGTCAGAACAAGGAACCAACCTCTTCCAACAGTAGAAATGGTACTTTATGATAAACATTAAAAGAGTATAAATCATGTTTAATGCCATGGAATGTTTCTGTAATACACTTACTTTGAAATTACATCAAGAAACCATTTAAAAATAACCAGAGGTGGTGTTCCTTTGGCTCTGCAATGCACTGAAAATGGTGTGCGGGGGAGGAAAAAACACCTTTTCTGTTTGGACATTTGGAATGGCAAAGGAGAAAGTACAACCAGATCCTTCTTCATGTGTTTATAAGAATTAATACATCTTAAATCACACGTCTGCCTTTTTCCATTAATAAAGGCAGTAATAGAGTGGACTATCTAAGAAAAGGTGAAACGTTATTTCTAATTAAACATTTTGTTGAAATGCTCCAGTTTAACTATCTAAAATCCAGAATGCAGGGTTGAGAGAATGTCCTGAAAGAAGGCTGTGAAGGAGGCCACACCACACTCCTTGCTCACCACTGGGCAAGCAGGATATGAGCTGGACCCGCTGGTACTTGAGCATGTCTAGTTAAGACAGTGGAAACAGAACAAGAGGTATTTTAAAATGCAGTCTGGTATACCAA